ATGTGTAATCACACACACACACATAAATTTGTACTGGATGAAGGGAGAAACGAGAGTTTTGAAGTATGAGCACCGCCGAACTAGAAGAATTTGTGAATCGGAGAAGTAGGAGAAATGAGTGAGCGCGCATAAAATTGAGATCTCGTGTGCGGGAGAGACCAATTCAGTGTCGGCTAGGCAATGGAATCTATGCCACATGATGCCGTGTACAAGTGAGACGAAATTGCATGCAAGAAGTGACACCTTCAGGTCGGTTGCAAGAGACGAAACCAACAGTGAGAGGAGAACCGGCTATGTGTGCAGTAACTATGAGTTGAGTGTTCTGTTTAGAAGAAATGTTGCTACATATGACCATGCAAGCAAAGCGTGCAGATGAGTGCGTATGCAGGAACAGAGCGGGTGGAGCGCCTCAAACGGGATATGTATATAACTGCATTATAGGTTAAGAGACTTAAAATTCCAGGAGAAATAGTAAAACAAGAGAGCTGTTGGACAATAGGTAAGTAATTACTTTGCTGCATGTACAAAATTCAGTCCTTTTATGTTTAAAAATGCATTAATATTTGCAAGGGACCAATATAGTTCAGACTAAATTAAATGAATGTTCAATATTTTAAAAAGGTTATTTATATGTCAATCACACTGAAATATATTTCAATTTGCAAAAAAAATAAATGAAAAATCAAGAAAAATAAATATGGAAGTCCATCACAGAAGTCACTTTCTTACGGTAATAGTTGTGGACATTATTATATCTGTGCACAAAAATAAAAATGAAAAAATAGGGAATGAATGTATCTTAATTAATACAATAGGAATGAATGTATCTTAATTAATACAATATTTTAGCATTACTTCTGAGATAATTTCTTAAATAAAAGATAAATATTTTAAAAGGTCTAATAAAATAAAATTTTAATGTCTACTTGTAAACTACATGCAACTTAGAGCATATGCATAAAAATTAATACACATTAAAATTGTAACTGCCCATGAAGCAATTGTATGACTTAATCTGTTCTTAAATATTAATTACAAAAAAAAAACTCATTTTAATTAAAAAACTGAAATAAGAGAGTTTGTTGAATCTCTTCACTAAAATTATTATTGCAAATGGATATTTTTATGTGTTTAGATGATGATACTGAAGTTAACCTAAACCACACTAGGAAAAAAATAATATTACTAAAACAAATAAACAGTTATAACCAACACACTTGAAAGAGGAAATGCAATAACATGACACAAGCAAACACCATTAAAGTGTATCCCTAGAGTGGTGGAGATCCGCTAGGTGGATCAAACTAGTTGGTCGGAGTGGCGCCAACAAATGAATGTTGGTGGCAGGGAGGGAAAGGTGCAACGATGCAGGGATAGCAAATATGGTGGTTGTCTTGGGTGATAGCAACAAGGAGTTGTGGTGGATAACGGCGGGACAACAAGAAGTAGGTGTTCCCTGGCTTTCCTGGGAGGCAACGACACTGTGGGAGGGCTGGGACAACACGAACAAGGGGTGGTTTGGGTGGCAGCAACACTGGAAGGGATGGGGAGGTGGCAGAAAATAACACTTGGAATGTTATTGTGGCGACTGCAGCTAAAAACGATGATCGGGAGAGATGTGGGAGCATGTGGAAGGGGTAGGGGGAAGATAATTACAACCTCCGTAAAGAGATACAGCCAAAACATCACCCAATCCTTCGAATAAATCCCTTTAAGAGAAAAATGGACGTCGACGACTATCCTAACAAAAATCTAAAATTTGAAAGACCAAAACTAAACCCTAAGACAGCAAACAACATTTTTAAAATAGATACTAGTAATTAGAATATGAAGGAATTAGAATAGGAAGGAAATAGAATTAGGATTAGGAAGGGAATAGAAATAGAAAAAGGCAAAGAATGGAAGAAGAAGAAATAGAAATAGAAAAAGGAAGAGAAATAAACAATGAATAGAAATAGAAAAGGAATAGAAGAGGAAGAAGTCTCCTCTATGGAATGGAGTAAAATAGGAAATTGGGAGAGGGAGGGGTGGCAATTCTAGCCCCCGTGAAGGTCGGTTAGTTCAGTAAGCCACCTAGTAAGCCCAGCGTTAGTCTCTCGGGATTGGGGGAGCTTAAACTTTATTTGTCCAAGCTTCTAGATTCTCGTAGCACTAGTCAAGTTTGTCACATTGAATTTACCTCTGGTAAATCAATCATGTCGGCGTTGTTGTTCTACATCACGTCTTGATAGAACAAATATGCATTATCTCTTGGCACGTCCTGACCTAGAGTTGTATATAGATGTAGGTTCCTGCAATTTAACTCTTGAGCCCTTGTGGCTTGAACATTCTTCTTCCACTTCTTGTACTCAATAAAATGTAGTTGATAAACAAATGTGTAAGGAGAGATCAACTCTGCAGTAGACTTTGTGTCAAATTACACCATTCTCACTAGCAACCACTCAAAACAAACCTCTTCTTTACTAATAGGACCTGAATCCCACTGAAGAATTTCCTTCTCATCAAGCTCCTATGTCAAATTTCAAGGTTGGGGTTCATCCCTCCTACCCAAACATCTGATGGTGGGTACACAACTGAGGAAAATCTAACATCTAAATAACTAAATGTAATCTTCTCGACATGACACAAAATGGTCTTATTTCTGAGGTGTTGGGCCGCCCTTAGTAGAGGCAAGTCAAGAATGAGTCTATTGGTCATACCTCTGGTGTCAATTCCTCGAACTCAAAGCCACCGTGAAGTCAGTTAGAGTTTCTCCCACGAGCTCTACTAGAACTATGTGCATCTTTTCCTCCTCAACTGGAAGCTGATCCTCCTCCTTTGTGTCCTCACCGATTTTAATGTCTACTGTGTCAATACCCAATTTTTCAAGAACGCCCTGCCCACTGAAACATATCACCTTCATGGTCTTGTTGTCTGATTAAGCATATGCCAAATATGTGCATTTGCAATACTTCTTAGTTGGTACAGATTTAGGAATGCAGATTGGTTCCACCTATTCTCCACTTTGACACAGCTTTCCCTCTGACGAGGCCAGCTTAGATGATCTCATGAGTGTAATATGGATGTAAGACCCAGAGGTTGAGCATTACCTGTAAGACGTGGTAGTTGCCCGATAATACAATCTCTCCAGTTCTAAAAATAGAGTCTTAACCTTCTGCCTATAATAAGTTGGTAGGACTTGGTGTCAGATCTCCCACTTCATCTTCATATTCTCTCATTCTCCCTATGTTGGTTGTTTTCTGCCTCCTCTGAAACTGGATTCCAAAGCGTCATGGTCAATCTTCTGCATCACTAAAGTCCTCAATATGGAAGAGATTTAGATCCCGTCTCTTGCTCCCCTTCGATTCTTCAGGTCTTAATTGATGGTAATCTCCCCCTGGATTTCTCTTTAATATCCACAAGCCTTCGTTGAAGTCGATGAATCTCTCGTTGTATCTCTTCCCATGTAGGCTCGAGCATATAGCTCTTTGTTGGTGTGACAAGGTTTTGGATGTGGGTTGCTGCAAGAGGGCGAAAAAAATGATTTAGGGTTGTTGATTTTGACAATCAGCAAGGGTATATTAGGGCTAGGTCAAAGGTTTGGCCATGATTTGAGAATAGCAAAGAAAATTTTTAGTGGAAAGGTAAGTCGGATGCTAAGATACCTTAGGATATAACTAGGGTTAGGCTAGCTCTATATCAAATGATACCTGAGTTAACCCAAACCACACCATGAAAAACAAATAAATGGTTACAAATGACACACCTGAAAGGAGAAACATAATAAAACTACACAAGCAAACACCACTAAAGCATATCCCAAGGGTAGTGGAGGTCGGCTAGGTAGATCAAACTAGTTGACGGGGGTGGCAGCAACAAAGAAATGTTGGTGGTAGCAAAAGGAGGTGCAACAATGCAGGGACAACAAGTACGGTGGCTGCTATGAGTGATGGCAGTGAGGCATTGGGGTGAATAGCGGCGGAACAATAGAAAGTAGGTGTTCCCTGGCCGTATTGGGCAGCTTATGGCACAGTGGGAGAGCTGGAATAGCAGGAACAAGGTGCAATTTAGGTGGCAGCAACGCCGAAAGGGAGGAGGCGGCTGGGAGGTTGGAGGCTGTAGTGAGATACGGCGAACGAGAGAGATGTGAGAGCATGCAAAATGAGTAGGAGGAAGATAATTACCACCTCGGGATAAAGATACAGCTGGAGCACCACATAATTTTTCGAATACAACACACGAAGGGGAAAACGAACGCCGACGATCGTCCTGAAAGAAATCTGAAATCTGGAAGACCAAAAACTAAACCCTAAGACAGCAAACAACACATTTATAATAGATACTAATAGTTAGAAAAAGGAGAACATAAAATTAGGAAGGGAATAGAAAAAGATAAAGGATAAAAAAAGAAGGAATAGAAATAGGAAAGGAAGAAAAATAGGCAAGGAATAGAAATAGGAAATGAAGAGAAAAAAGAAAAGACTAAAAATCGGAAATGAATAGAAATAAGAAAGAAAGAGAAATAGACAAGGACCAGAAATAAGAAAGGAATAGAAAAGGAAGAAATTCCCCCTATGGGAGTAAAATAAGAAATTGGGAGAGGAAATGGGGCAATTTCAGCCCCCAAGAAGGTCGACCAGTTCGGTCAGCCACCTAGCAAGCCCCACATCAGATGATGTTTTAAAAATCTTGTGGTTTAGAGGTTCTTTATTGTTTGAATATTTTTTATAGATTTTTGTAACAATTAGAATAGTACAACTCTACCATCTAATCATTTGTTTTCACCTTGATATTATCAACCTTCTAAATAGGGTCGTAACAATGTGAGTCTTTCTTTAGTTGGATGTAAGACCAACTTTCAACTTCAATTTTTATCCCACATCATGAAAAGTAGAACAACAAAATACTTGCCTTGATGCTCACATCCTATGCTTCAATAAGTATAAACCTCTAAGTTTCATCATGATGTTTGAGAAGCATTTGAAATTAAATAAAGAATGATGGCAAGCTTTTGATTCTACCTCTTGTCGAAGTTTTTCTCGTAGCAGATTAAGATCATCAGTTTTTATTCCCCGTATGCTACATAGACAAGGAAACTGAAATCAATAAATCGAAAGTACCGGTCATTAATTAATGCATAACATGCATTTTACCTTCATAAGAAACAAATTAAAAAAAAAGGTTAAAAAAATCACAAAACGTGCTTCATTAATAACATTAAAAAAACCAAAGTAAGTTCATACAAAACCAAATTAAGTTGTCCTACTCTACAATAAATTGCATAAAGAATAAAATGCTAAAAAAAACAAATTAAAATAAAAAAATTAGAACTCGTTTCAAGATTCAAAACTGACCTCTTAACATTCAAAAGTGGAGGTTCATCTGGGTATGTTTCAGTATGAGAAAATATCAAAGCCAACTGAACTGCAAAAAAAAAATCAGACTCGGCATGAAAATAAAAATTTGAACGAACATGTTGAAGCAGTATGAAACTTCTCTCCTTAACGTTGATGAATGTAGAAGGAAATAATGATGTCTGTCAAATCAGCTGACCAGGAGTATAATTTGATGGATCTAGATCATCATCCTGCCCAAGAGAAGCAATACATAAATTTTCTTACCAAACTCATTTCCATGAGAACATTACAAATAAGAGAAATTTACATACGTAGCACACAATTCTTATGTATTTACATATTTCACACCTTAACTTTGATAACATTCATAGCACTTTGGTACATTAAACCTATGCATGAAAAGGATGTATTTCAGTTTTAAAAGTGATAATAATGTTATTGTTGATGTGATATTATGTGTGTAAATATGAAAGTTTGGATGTGAAATATATAAATACATGAGAATTTTGTACTGTGTATGTAAATGTTCCTACAAATAAACAAAAGGAAACCAAAATATCTCTGAACAGAAAAACAATCAATCTCATCTGAAAGCTTTGGAATTCAGTTGCATTTATTATATATTCTTATAATTATGTCGAGTTATTTGAGTGATATTATGTCTTCTAGACATAAAGTTAATAAGTCATTTGAACAAATACCAAAGTTATTTTAGTCATATTATGTCTTCTAGACAGCAAGGTCATGTTATTATTTTATTAGCGCTATTTGCATTATGTTCTAAGCAGTTACTTGCCTTTTAGTTTATTCTATTTATATAAGGAAAATGATAAAATAGTTACTATATTTTTCAAGTTTTGACATTTTAGTAATTAACTTTTTTGTATGTTCAATTTAGTCACTCAACTTCTCAAATATGAGCCAATTAGGTCTCAACCATTAACTTTGCCCATTTTTTATGACAATTGGTGAAGAGGTTATCTATCAGGACATTCAGGACTTTTCATTAATCTGTGTTGCTACTAAACAATGAGATTGACCTTGAAAAGTCCAAGATGTCGTCATGGCATACTTCCCTCCATCAATTTATGTCCAAAGGAACAATAAAATTGACAACAGGAACAAAATGATTCGGATTTGATAAATTGTGAGACTAAATTAAACAACTTAACATGTCTAAGGCTAAAGGGAGCACAATAAATGTCTATAAATCATTTCACTCGTGTATATAAGATTATGCGATTCATGAAGTTTAACATATACATTTATTTTGTATTATTATATTAATGTCATCAGAAAATCATTAGTCACTCCAACAAATCTGAGGTACAATTTATATTATGTTTGATGGGCATTAGAATCATTTAATATTTAGTTAGGGCTATTTTGGTCATCTCACTAAGATTGAAAGCAAATTATTAATTTTTCCTCTATAAATAAGAGAATTATGGGTCATGTAAGCATGAATAATATTTTAAATGTGAAATCATTCATCAACTTTGGGATTTTGACCAATTGATCAAGTGAGAAACTCGAGATATTGCAAAATAGGTTATCTAATGTACCCATTTTAAATTGTATACATTTTCTTGACATCTTTTTTATATTTTTGAATTATTTCAAAGCAGACTTGCATCAAATGACCATCAAAGCTATGATTTACCATTTATCGCCATGATTACCATCTTGATTTCAAGTTTCTTTGAGATTGTATTTAAGATTTTATGAAGAAGACAAATTTACTTATTTATTTATTTTCCCACCTCGCACCTACCCATGGGAAGCCACTTGAGAACCAGTTTTCTTTTATATTTTTTCAAAGACTTCTTAACAAACATAAATCCCAACTTCGATCCATCTCTTTGCCAATAAATTTCAGAACAAATCAACACTTCCTCTAAACTTTGAAAGTCCTCCCACAATTCATCAACGAACAACAAAAAAGCCCTCCTAAAACTATTCGTAGTAGCACATTTAAACCAAAAATTCGTCATCATCATTAGCCCCATACCAGTTGGTGGATTTTATGAAACCTCAATCTACATTCAATTTAGTGCTCCATGAGGTTTAGCATCTAGCTTGACTAAATAATTTAGCATGTCTCTAACAAATTACCTTCGATCCACCTCCTTTCAATCATAATCCTTGAACACTAACTTTAGCTACCCATCTAGTTCATGTGTGTTCTACCCTTCACTAAACATGCCCAAACCATCTAATATATGTTTTGGTTCCTCCTGATTGCAGCAAAACATCTAAAAAAAAAAAAGGCTAATTTATATGAAAGTCTTGGTTAGAAAATAATCACTTTATATGTTCACCTTCTAGTAAAAATCTGAAATACTAATTAGTAAAGTGAATCATCTATATAGATTTTAATTAGCCTTTGCTTACTAGTTTACGTTGAAAAAAAAACATGTGAGGAAATGTTCATTTAATTCTCATCACCAATCTTCAACCATAAAGTTACACACACACACACACACATATATATAGAAAAATCAGTCTCTCCTAATTTATAATCTTACCAAATATATCTAGCCTAACCATGTAAATGAAATAATTCTAAAATAAACATAAATCGGAAGACAATAAAAACTAATCGAGGAATTTCACAAATTATCGCCAATTAATCCATCCAACACTCCTTGGATGGTTGGCCTAGTCCCACCATGGAACGATGGATGATCCTCCTAGATTTCCACACTCCCCCTCAAGCTAAGTCATAGATATTGTAGAGACCAAGCATGGTATTAAAATCTGAGAAGTTGCTTAAAGGAAGAGCTTTAGTGAAGATATCAACAACTTGTTGTTGTGTCGGGATATAGTTTAGTTGTATAATTCCACCATTAAATTTTTCAGAGATAAATTGCATGTCAATTTCAATATGTTTGGTTCTGCATGATGCACAACGTTCTTGGCCAATACTTATAGCTGATTGATTGTCAAAACATTTGTATAAGCTTATTCGAGGTACACCCCAATTCCCTCAACAATTTTAGAATACAAATCCCTTCACAGTATCCTAGGGCAAGTGCCCGATACTCCAATTTTTGCGGTGTTTCTAGAGACAGCTTGTTTTTTTACTTCTCCATGTAACCATACTTTCCCATACATAGGAGCAATAACATGTAGTGAACTTTCTATCACCGAGTTACATAACCCAACTTAAAGTGTAGACTTCTACCTTTTTTTTCTAGTACTCTCAAAAATTAATCTATAAACAAATCTTCTTGAGAAACCTCAGGATTATATATACCATCTCCAAATGTTTTTCATTTGGGTTATTCATATTTTGGTTCACCATACTAATAGAGTATGCAATATCTGATCTAGTATGCGAAAGTTAGATGAGTTTGCCCACCAATCTTTGATATCTTCCCTTATCTACAATTATACTTTCTTCCCCCTTATTAGACTATTTGTTGTTATCCATTGGAGTAACAACATGTTTGCATCCAATAATCTTCGTCTCTATTAGCAAATATAGGATGTATTTCCCCTGTGATATAACAATGCCCATCTTAAATCTTGCTACCTCCATGCCTAGGAAATTACTCATAGTTCCTAAGTCCTTAATTTCAAACTCAGACGTAAACACTTCTTCAATTTTAAGAATTTTCTTTTCATCATCACCGATAAGAATTTATCATCCACAGATACTATCAGTGCGGCAATCTTAACTCCTTGAGTGTGTTTTATGAACAATGTATGATCAACTTGACCTTCATAATATCTATTAGATCTCAGTTTGAGCATAGTTTTCAAACCATGGCCTCATTGATTACTTAAGACCATAAAGAGAGTTCTTGAGTTTGCATATTAGGTGTTTGATGAAATCATTCTCAATTCTTGGTAGTCTCTCCATACATACTTCTTTATGAACCCCATTAGGAAGGTAATTCTTATGTCAAGTCGATACAGTCTCAGCTCCTTATTAACTGTATTGAAAGAAGAACTTCGATAGTGCTCATCTTGGAAATTGGTGCAAAGGTCTTCTAATAGACAATCCCATAGGCCTGAGTGAAATCTTTTAAAACCAGTCTAGTTTTAAAAATATCAATACCACCATTAGCTTTTACTTGATGTTTAATACCCATTTGCGTCCAACTGTCCTCTTATCCTGTGGAAGTTTAATAAAAATCCATGTACCATTATGTTGTAGTGCTTAAATCTCGTCTTAAACTGCTTTCCTTCATTCAGGATTTTTAAGAGCGTTATGAATGAATTTAAGAAACTGCATACTATCAATGTTAGATATAAAAATTTTATAGGGTGAGGATAGCTTCTCATAGTTGCATACCCTGAATTAGATATTTAGTACAGTTTTCCTTATTATTAGCACCAGAAGTTGAAGAAATAACTCGTGTTATAGACTCCTCACCCAAAATTTCATGTGTGGACTCAATTTTTGGTCGGAGCAGTTCCGTCTTTTCAAGTTATGATTATTTTGTTCAAGATTTTTCTTTCTCCTTGTGTACACACGAAGTTCTTTGTTATGAATTTCAGGTTGGGTTAGTAGGACGCCCTTAAAGAGAATTATTTCATGCAGTGGTGTTTGGGAGAAAAAAGGGTTGGGTGATAATGGGGTAGGTTTTCAGGCAATCTAGGTGCCACTAAGTGCATCCCAAAATTCATGTTCATTTGCACTCTCCCATTCAATAATAGATTTAGAAGTACAATTGATTTTCAAAACACGTGACATCCAAGAAGTTGCAGTATTTTCTGGTAATGGGTGAGTGACACTTGTAGCTTTTTTTTGTTGGAAGCATACCCAAAAAATACACATGATGAATTTATGATCAATTTTTGTGCAATTTGGGGAATAAATGTGAACATAAGACATCCAAAAATTTTAAGTGGTACAGTAGATAAGAAAGCTATGATGTGGGGATAGGTATTCATCAAGACATAAAGTGGTGTTTTCAAATTAAGTACCCGACTAGGCATTGAATTGATAAGATACGTTGCGATAAGAACTACTTCCCCTCAAAAATATTTTAGAACTTGATGAGAAATACTAATTAAGCAGGATAACACACGTATATGTATGTTCTTTCTCTCAGTTATTTCATTTTGTGGAGTATCAACACATGAACTAACATTGATGATCTCATTTTTTGAAAAGTATGATCCAAGCTTAGAGTTGAAATATTTCTTTGCATTATTAATTTTGAGAATATGAATTTTACATTGAAATTGGGTTTGAATCATGTCATAGAAGGTTAGA